ATTACTTACTACTACTGAACGGAAAGCAACTGACCAACAAGATGCAGAAATCAACTTAAAAAATGCTCTAGTATTCTCTTCTCCAGGGCACATAATGGTGCTAGAAACAGGCACACAATTAGTTTTTTTTGGTTGCTGGAGAGTGAAGTGCCCGAGTCAAGACGCTATGGGGAAATGCTTCTCTCTATACGGAATAAGGAGACAGATTTATGTATAACCAGGTAGGAACAAATTCAACTCAAAATTTTAACTAAGTACAACATTGACGTACATAATAAAAGTGCATTTATTTGTCTTCTATTTTTCGCAGCAGCCGGGCATGACCATACCTCCTGAAGACCAACTCAATGATTCCAGAAACCAAGCGTTATTGTTGCCTTGATTAGTTCCAAGTAATCTGTTGATTAGTCAGTACTACTGAACGGAAAGCAACTGACCAACAAGATGCAGAAATTAACTAAAAAAATGCTCTAGTATTCTCTTCTCCAGGCGAGCGATGGTGACTTGCTGTTAAATAAGTGCACGGACTGAATTGTTCATCTGGATTGAGAGAAGAGCAACAACATGCAGTTCGAGCAAGGCATGGCGACAATCCTGCTGCTCCTACTCAGCAGCCTCACACCATTCCTGGCGGCAGCCGATGTATTCTGCGACAACGTTAAGGTCCTTGCTGCCACCCTCCCCAACAAAACCTCCACTTCCCCAGTACACTTTGCCACTGCCACCGTCGGCCAAGCCCCCGACATCGTGTATGCGCTTGCGCTCTGCCGTGGTGATGTCCTCAATGACACAACCTGTGCCGAGTGCATCACCAACGTATTCGGCAAAGTGCAGAATGCTATGCCGCCAGAGGTAGAATGCTTCAGGGCTGCCTCCTACTTTGCTGATTGTATCCTCATCTACAACTCCAAAGACATCCTCGCCCCGTCATTCACCAATAGCACAGAAGGAGAAAATGGTGGCGACCCTCCTTTTGAGAGGTGGAATGTCAGAAATGTCACTGGCAACGTGCCTCTCATCACCGGTCTCATGCACGAGCTGCTGGTGGAGACTGTGGAGAAGGCAGCCAGCGCGTCGCCGAGGCGGTTCGCCACCGGTGTCGTGGACAGTGGCACAAACTTCCCGAAGGTGTACTCCTTGGCGCAGTGCACGCCTGACCTGTCTTCCGGGGACTGTCTAGAGTGCTTGCAACATCTCCTTGGCATGATCAACTCCACCATGTCCCTCCGCATGTGGGGACAGATGGGTGTGATACGGTGTTATTTCAGGTATGATGCGTCTCAGTTCTATCAAGGCCAACCAATGATAAGTCTGGGGCCGCTAGCTCCAACTCCGACCCAACACAAGAGTAAGTCCAGCCCCAGTGTTCCTATATGTAATTTTGTGACATGGAAGTAAAATTCTCTATTATATACACACCTGATTGGTTGTTATCGTATATGTTCATATCAGGGCGTATGAACAAGCTGTGGGTAATTCCCATAGTTTTAATACCTCTAGCTGCAGCAACATTTCTCTTCTTCATCTTGTACTATCGTCGGATCACAAAACAAAGAAAAGGTATTCCACTAATAATTAGTTAGTTTCTGAATGGGCCGTTCTATTGTTTCAATTAGTTACTCTTTAATCATAGTCTTAATAAGACACTATTAAACATATATCAATAAAGAGGGATTGTGCCGATTCTCAATCATGTAGGTGAAGTGATGAGGTTACAAGGATCAAGACGTTCTCGGTATTTGGATGGAGAGGAACAACTAGTTTGGCAAGGCAAAAATTCAGAGTTCATGGTGTTTGACTTCCAACAGCTACTACAGGCCACAAATAATTTTTCGGAAGAAAACAAACTTGGACAGGGTGGATTTGGTGCTCTATACAAGGTAAATTACTATGTGTGTTTTTATATGTTTATTTCGAAATTCTTTAGCTTCCTAACATGATAGCTAACAAAGAAGCCCACATTTATAACAATAGTTAAGAGGTTTATAGTGCAAAGTGGAAGTGCCTAACTTTAGAATATATTTTTTTACCAGGGCAAGCTTGCTGATGGATTGGAGATAGCAGTTAAAAGACTTTCTTCACATTCAGGACAAGGCTTCATAGAATTTAAAAATGAAGTCCAGCTCATAGCCAAACTACAACACAGTAATTTGGTTAGGCTCTTTGGATGTTGCTCCCTAGAAGAGGAGAAAATATTAGTGTATGAATACTTGCCCAACAAAAGCTTGGATTTCTTTATCTTTGGTAAGTCTATATGCATTTCTTATTTGAGTTTACAAAATATTTATCAATGCATCACAGTAACTAAAATTGACTCCACATTTTATTTTTCTGTTAACCCCATGAGTCTAATTTCATTACATAGGTAACCAAGTAGCACAAATTTTGATCAGTTAACATGGCGTATTTCTCATGTTATACCAATGTTTGTCTGATGTGTAGATGAAAAAAGAAGAGCTTTACTTGATTGGTCCAAACTTGTAGCAATAGTGGAAGGCATAGCACATGGACTTCTTTACCTACATAAGCACTCCCGGTTACGTATCATACATCGAGATCTTAAACCAAGTAACATTCTCTTGGATAGCGAAATGAATCCAAAGATTTCAGATTTTGGTCTAGCAAAAATTTCCAGCTCAGATAGCAGTGAAGGAAACACTACTAGAAGAGTGGTTGGTACATAGTAAGTTTCAGAAACACAATCCACTGTTGAGTACTTATATTACACCACAATCATATGCAATAATTTTGACATGTATCATATACCATTTCAGTGGCTACATGTCCCCTGAGTATGCTTCGGAGGGTGTCTTCTCTATTAAATCGGACGTCTTCAGTTTTGGTGTTATTATTTTTGAGATACTTAGCGGAAAGCGGAATTCTGGTAGCCAGCAATATGGTGATTTCATCAATCTTCTTGGATATGTAAGATTATACAAATAAACTTACGCAAGTAAAATTGTTCTATATTTTCTGTGTAGCCTACATTTCTTTTGGTTATTTGAAGACATAACATAACCTAAAAACTGCAAACAGGCATGGCAATTATGGGAAGAGGGAAGGGGAATTGACCTTCTTGATACATCATTGGTTCCCAAAGATCAATCGCCGAAGATTATGAGATACATTAATATAGCATTATTATGTGTACAAGAGAATGCAGCCGATCGGCCAACCATGACAGATGTTACAGCAATGCTATGCACCGACGATATGAACATCGACGAACCTAAGCAGCCGGCATATTTCAACATAAGGGTCGGAAATGAAGAGGAGTCTACTGCCACAGAGTCATGTAGTATTAACGACATGACCATATCTGTCGCAATTCCTAGATAGTTTTTCTTTTCTTGTTTACTATGTTTGTGATGTGCCAACGTGTATTGATGATATCATAACTATTGTATCAAAGTATAAGTTTAAGTGGTTCACTCTAGTTTTCACAGACTATGTTGTTGCTACCTTGACTTCAGTTGTTTCTATTTTATTTTATTTTGCATATTTTTAATGAGGTTTGTTTGTTTATCTATAGCATTTTTATTACATTTTCTATCTAAGTATTAAATTGGAACACACATCACATTGTTTTGGAAGAAAATATAATAAGAATTGTCGATGGTGTGCCCTAAGTGGTTTTGTTTATCATAAGCTGACTCGAGTTTTAGACACATGATGATTTAATTCGTGGGGATGTACATGACAATTATTTTTAAGAACGAAGGTGCAAGATGCGTCCGACTTTAAATTATTAAAGCCCAGCCAGATAGAGTAATAAGAGGTTCATATAACCACCAACCACAGACAACAAAAGTAAATGATGTTCAGATATAGAGCTCCAAGCTGAATATGAGTGTTCAGATTCGAAAACGTTTTGGTAGACTACGTGGCTGGTGACATTGCAGCCGTCCTCGCCATGGCATCAGCATGACCAAGTCGCTGGATCACCGTGTCCCCATTGTCTCACCCTTCGCCTTTCCCAACAGAGCCCACTGCTGCCGAAAGAGTTACCACTGATACGTGATGATTTGACACAAAAGTATGGTGTTGTAAAAAAATTTGCGATATAACAGCCACGAAGTCATAACTCTTTTTCTTTAAAAGATGTTGTCCAATTGATAGATCGTGTGTTGGAAATTTCATTCAGCCGAGTAGTTATTTCATTATATAAACCTGTGACGCCTTGATTGACTTCTGGATTAACTAATTGCTCTATTCGATCCTGCCGGTTGGTAGCTGCCGTGAATAATTGTTTTTCATCGACACCGTGATTGACGGTTTCCATTTTGTTGACTGTCTTTTTTTTGCCAGAGAATTGTTGACTGCTGAGCCGATTGCTGAAAGCCACGCAATGATACACAACTGAGGAAGCAAGCAAGGTAAAATTAGGACAAACAGAACGAGAGCGTGGCCGGCCGTGCCGCGGTTAGCTAGCTAACATGTTGATGCTCGGCGTCCTGCTCCTTTTTCTGATGCCGTTGTCGGCAACGGGAACGGCACAGCTCTGCGGCAGCGGCAGCAACTACACCACCAACAGCACCTATCAGTCGAACCTCGCCGCCCTTGCCGCCACCCTCCCCACTAATGCCTCCTCCTCCCGTCAGCAATTTGCCGCCGCCACCGTTGGACAAGTACCTGATGCGGTGCATGCGCTCGCGCTCTGCCGCGGCGACTTCGCCAACGACACGGCATGTGCGGACTGTGTTGCCGCCTCATTCCAGCACGCACAGCAGACATGCCCCAACGACGAGGCCGCCACCGTCTACTACGACTATGATGACGTAAACAATCAGAGGCCAGGCTGCGTACTCGGCTTCTCTGGCGAGAGCGATTTCCTCAGCCCAGCGGCCGGTCTCACCGAGAACGGTACGCTCTTCGAGGCATGGAATCCGGGGAACATCTCCGCGGACGCCACCATCACCGCCGCAGACGTCCACAACCTGCTGACTGTGACAGCCCAGGACTCGGCCGCCGACACGGCGAGGCGGTACTCCACAGCGGTGATGGATGCGGTGCCAACGCTCTACTCCCTCGCACAGTGCACGCCGGACCTGTCCGCCGGTGATTGCCTGGTTTGCCTCCAGCGGCTTATCGGCATGGTCAACGCCACCACGTCCGTGCGCCAGGGAGGACGGATCTTCGTCCTGCGCTGCAACATCAGGTTCGAGACGTTTATGTTCTTCGACCAGCCTATGCGGCGGATCAATCCATCCTCCATCACTCAGGCTCCACCAGGCAAGAGTATGTACACGAACTGTTCGTTTATTTCCCTTGAAAAAAACTGTTCGTTTATTTAATTCTGTTTCGTGCGTGCCCAGACAGTTCAAATATTACTGTTGATCAAGCTCTTGATAATTCATCGGAGGATGTTTAATTTTAAAATACAGGAATCAAACCTTGGATAATTGCAATATGTGTGGCTTCTGCTGTGGCACTAGCTGCTTTCTGCTTCATGGTTTATTGTCGTTGCCTCAGAGGAAGGATCAGAAAACGTGGGTAAATGCGTTTCTGAAATGCTACTTTGTACTCCACTAAATATACAGAGCAGTAATTAGAGAGATCGATCCGTAGCACCAATGTTCAATTTTTCAGGTTCAGTGAGATTGCGAGAAAGGCGTACTAATAAATTGCACGGAGGGGATCATGAACTAGTATGGGATATGGAAACAGGAATGTTATCAGGGTTTTCGTTTTTTGAGTTTGATAAGATACAGGAGGCCACGGGTAACTTCTCTGAAGAAAATAAACTTGGAGAAGGCGGATTTGGCCCTGTATATAAGGTGCATATATCATACTTTTCTAGAATCCCCCGTTTATATTAAGTAGAGAAATATTTTATATGTCCCTGAAAATTCATAACTCTTAAAAAAAAATTTGTATCCCACATATAGCATTGGTATAAATAATTACTCCGAAGAACATCGATACAAAGTGGAGTTAATTTGCATTTTCCTAATTACTTGGTAGTTGTGCTCTTTTTTTCTCTAGGGACATTTTCTTGAGGGAATGGAGATAGCAGTAAAGAGGCTTGCTTCACACTCAGGACAAGGTTTGGTAGAGTTCAAAAATGAAGTTCAGCTCATAGCCAAGCTTCAACACAGGAATTTGGTGAGACTCCTGGGATGTTGCTCTCAAGGAGAGGAAAAGATACTGGTCTATGAATACATGCCGAACAAAAGCTTGGACTTCTTCATATTTGGTACACATTTGCATTTTTAGATTCATAGCTATGACTTAGTATACTGATGCCATAAACATGACATAAGTATCCTACTATAATGTTTTTAGAAATCCTATATGCCTAATAGCACTCTCTTGAGAATGAGGTGTCCAACTTTTATTATTTAGATGTTTTTTTCTCTACTATGCTAATATTTAGTTCATGCAGATGAACACAGAAAAGCTTTAATGGATTGGAACAGACGTCTAGCAATAATTGAAGGAATAGCAGAAGGCCTTCTTTATCTACATAAGCACTCTCGTCTGCGTGTTATACATCGAGATCTTAAGCCAAGCAACATTCTCTTGGACAATGAAATGAATCCTAAAATTTCAGATTTTGGACTAGCAAAAATATTCAGCTCAAATAACAACGAAGAAAACAGTACGAGAAGAGTAGTTGGTACATAGTAAGTTTCAGAAAGTTTTTTTTTTGCGAGGAAGTTTCAAATAGTTACACCAATTGTGAATATTCATATACTACAAGTACTAACTGGACCTATGTTATTACATCATTTCAGTGGTTACATGGCTCCCGAGTATGCTTCTGAGGGCCTATTCTCTATCAAATCCGATGTATTCAGCTTTGGTGTTTTAGTCCTCGAGATCCTTAGCGGAAAAAGGAATTCCGGTAGCCATCAATGTGGTGATTTCATCAATCTCCTCGGATATGTGAGTTTTTACATGTCCATATAACATGAACAGAATTTCTTTTTTATTCATACTTAAGTATGTCATGAAATTGCAAATAGGCTTGGCAATTATGGAAAGACAGAAGATGGATTGATATTGTTGATGCATCATTTAATTCATTTCTTCCCAAGACTCACCCAACAGAAATGATGAGGTGCATTAACATTGGACTACTATGTGTACAAGAGAATGCAGTAGATCGACCAAACATGTTGGATGTTACTACAATGCTAGGATGCAAGACAATGATCCTACGTGAGCCTAAGCACCCACCGTATTTCAATCTAAGGGTAGGCAATGCGGAGGATTCATCTACTACACAGTCATGCAGTATCAATGGTGTTACTCTATCAATAGCAACTGCTCGATAGTTTCTCTTTGAGTTATGTGTTCTTTACTAAGCCATATGTAAAATGAATGATTCTCTAGATGTTGTACAAGGCATAATTTTAAGTGTTACTCTTACATTTAGTGCAGAGATGTTTTTCTAAATCACATTGAAATGGAATGTATGTTGGAATGTGGATGCTACACTCCCTACTGGATACCCTTAGGAACACTAGTAGAAAAAGGAACTAATATGAGACACATTAGTGCCGGTTTGATTTTGAGCCGGCACTAATGTGTCCAATAGTGCCGGTTCCAATGGCTAGCCGGCCGTTCTTATTAGTACCGGTTTGTGGCGAACCTTTAGTACCGGTTTGTGCCACGAACCGGTACTAAAGAGAGTGGTGGCAGGGTTTTGTTAGTCTGGGCCACCCCAGCACCTTTAGTACCGGTTCGTGGCACGAACCGGTACTAAAGGTCGATGTACATAAACTCTTCGTCCACCCGAGCTCGCTCTGTTCTTCCCCTTTCCCCTCTCCTCCTCTGTTCTTCCCTTCTCTTCCTTGAGCTCATCACACATTTTGCCCAAAATTTGTCAAGATTTGAAGGCCCCCATCCATTCAAATGATCACAAAGGTTAGCAACTTTGTCCTTTCAACTCTCATTGCTAGATTAGCTCTTGCAATGCTTTGTATAGTGATTAATTTGGGAGGAATTATATTTGCTAGTATTTGATTTATATGCAATTTGAGGTCAAAAGTAACACTTAGTTTGCATATGTAGGTGTGGTTTACTTAGTGCCTTCTAAATCTCCGTCGTAACCACCGTCGATCGCCCGCACCGTCCCGTCGCCGACACCACCTTGTGGTGAGGCTCTTGTTCATGAATGTTTTACATTACCAAATTGATGTTTGTGTGATTTGGATATATAGTTACTCGTATAATTATCTTACCCATACGTTGTTTGTTATACATAGTGCCATGGTTTTGATATCCGTCCCCGTCGACCCTCGTCCTTGTTATGATTCGGATGTGGTATATTCTCATTTAAAACTAGTTGTTGCATTTCGTGTTTATGAAAAATTATGCCCATCAAGTTGACATAGATATTTTTATCTAGGAGGTATGTGAACCGGAAATTCCAACCGACCCTATTGTCGAGAGGTTAAATTTAGTTGAAAGAGAAAACGAGTATTTGAAAGAAAAATTGAAAAGAATTGAGGGGGAGAAGATGGAATTGGAGTTGCATGTTGCCGATGTCGTCGATGATCACAAGATCAAGATGGAGAAAATGAGGTTGAAGATTAGAAAGATTAGAAAATATGCCATTGATAGTGTGGCTTGGTATCATTATGCTGTTGGATCAATTGTTAGCTTAGTTGCGATCTTCATCGCATTTGTTGTTGCATTTAACTTCTTTAGCTAGAGAGTTATTTGCCCGCTGATGATCTAGGTCGGGCCATTGCCGATGCAAAGAGAAACTGCGCAAGTGATCTGGAGAGGACGAAGTTGCAGCGCATGTTAGAGGATCACAAGAAATTGTTGTACCCGAATTGTGAAGCTGACAAAAAAAAGTTGGGCAGCACACTTGAATTGCTGCAATGGAAGGCAGAGAATGGTGTATCTGACAAGGGATTTGGAAAGTTGCTGGTAATGATAAAGAATATGCTTCCAAAGGACAACGAATTGCCCGAGAGTACGTATGAAGCAAAGAAGGCTGTCTGCCCTCTAGGGTTAGAGGTGCAAAAGATACATGCATGCCCTAATGACTGCATCCTCTACCGCGCTGAGTACGAGGATTTGAATGCTTGCCCGGTATGCGGTGCATTGCGTTATAAGATCAGTCGCGATGACCCTGGTGATGTCGAGGGTGAGCGCCCCAGGAAGAAGATTCCTACCAAGGTGATGTGGTATGCTCCTATAATACCACGGTTGAAACGTTTGTTCCAAAACAAAGAGCATGCGAAGGCGATGCGGTGGCACACAAAAGACCGTAAGAAAGACGGAAAGTTGAGAGTACCCGCTGACGGTTCGCAGTGGAGAAAAATTGAGAGAAAGTACTGGGAGGAGTTTGCAGGTGACCGAAGGAACGTATGGTTTGGTCTAAGCGCAGATGGCATTAATCCTTTTGGGGAGCAGAGCAGCAACCATAGCACATGGCCTGTGACTCTATGTTTGTGTAATCTTCCTCCTTGGTTGTGCATGAAGCGGAAGTTCATTATGATGCCAGTGCTCATCCAAGGCCCTAAGCAACCCGGCAACGACATTGATGTGTACCTAAGGCCATTAGTTGAAGAACTCTTACAACTGTGGAATGGAACAGGTGTACGTGCGTGGGATGAGCACATGAGGGAAGAATTTGACCTAAAGGCGTTGATGTTCGTGACCATCAATGATTGGCCTGCTCTCAGTAACCTTTCAGGACAGACAAACAAGGGATACCGCGGATGCACGCAGTGTTTGGATGATACTGACAGTATATATTTGAATAGTTGTAAGAAGAATGTGTACCTGGGACATCGTCGATTTCTTCCGAGCATGCACATTACAAGAAATATGTCAACTAGTGACCTTCTGTCAGTGACCCTGGAAGAATTGGTCATAAATTTATGACCATTTAGACCAATAGGTCAAAAGCTGTTGGGGGGGCTCCAGACCCTAACCTATAACGACCATTCTGGTCAGAAAGGTCATAATGTCATTACAGGAAATGGTCATAAAGCGGGAAGCACTGTCCACTGCCTCACGCCTAGCTGATAACGACCAATATAACATGGTCACTACACTTGATTTTGAATGAATTAGGATGATAACGACCAATATAACATGGTCACTACACTTGATTTTGAATGAATTAGGATGATTAGGCAGCCACCTCAGCAACCTCGCTTATGTGTCACTGTCTAGGTGTCATTTTTGGTTAAATATTAATATTCAACAACAGACGGGGCACACACTGACATGCAGGACCCATTTGACAGGAGGGGCAGAGTGCTTAATTCACCCAAAAAATGTGCGCTTGCGGGGACTCGAACCCACGACCTGGCGCTCGCTTCGCTCGTTCGGTACCACTGGGCTAGAGAGGGATTATTGCTCTGGTATGGGAACTAATCTATACATTATATAATACCACGGCTCTCTCCTATCAGTGACAAGTGGGGCCTTCCGACCAGGTGGCATCGAACAGAGGAACACTGATAGGCGGGAACCATTTTACAGGTGGGTAAGCCACTGACAGGTTGGTAAGCGAGCGTTTAATTCCCTAAAAAATGTGCGCTTTAATTCCTAAAAAATATGCGCTAGCAGGGACTAGAACCCACGACCTCGCGCTGTTTAACTTGTTCGCTACCACTGGGCTAGAGAGGGATTGCTGCCCATCTAGCGAAATGGCACTGTATATTATATTATAGCGCCAAATCTAAGTCATTGACAAGTGGGACCAGGTCGGCCTGCGGGCAGAGCCAACACTTAGCCAAAAATTTCTAGGTCTACCGAAGCAGGTGGCGGGTGGCGGCGGGCTGCGGGCGGCGGACTAGGGCGGGGCCGGCGGCCGAAGCGACCGGGGCAAGGGCAGGGGCGACCGACGGTGGTGGGGGCGGGGGCAGGAACGGCCTCGCCGCAGTTGACCTCGCCCACGGCCTCGCCGCTCGCCCACGGCCTCGCCTTCCATTGCAGCGGAAGCGACCAGCAGGGGCGTGGGAAACCTGCAGTGGTGGCGGCGGGCGCAGGAAGGACGACCACGCAAGGAGAGGCTCGCCGAGCATGGGGGACTCGCCGCCGCCGCAAGCACACCTCCCGGTATGCACCCCTCTCCTCTTCCCCCCTCTCCTCTCTCACTATCTGCACCTCGTCGCCGAGCATAGATGAATTTTGTTGATGCACTGTTAGGAATTAGGAGATATTGCATAGATATTGCATAGATGAATTTTCTTTATGTACTGTTGGGAGTTCTTCAGCTTGTTTGTTAAGAATTGTTCAGGCCTTGTTCGGTTAAGATTTGGGGGGAATTTCAGCTAGATGGGATTTATTCCCTGCCAGAAACAAGGCCTTGGTCTTCAATTGTTTGTCTACAGATTGTTAGGATAATTGTAATTGTAATTGATAGAAACAGCATAGTATTTGTTAGGAGCTAGCTAGCTAGTTTGGTTTAATTTGAATTAGCCTTCTCTGCAACATAAATTCATGCCAATTTCAGTGTTGGTTTGATTTATAGTTTGGTTTGTTTTAATGTTGTGGTTAGGCAATTAGCATATAAAATTTTCTGGAATTTTAGCTTCCATTACTTCCATCCATTTTCATTAATTAATGTTGATGCACTTAGATTGATTTGCTAAGTTGCAACAATTTGTTGTCTTTGGCAGATGGACAGAAGCTGGATTAGAAAAGGAGTTAGAAAGTTTTCGAAAGAACATATGAAAGGAGTTGATGATTTCATGGCATTTGTTCGGGCAAATTTTGCCAACGATGCTCACATTCTTTGCCCATGCTGCGAATGCCTCAACCATCCAAGAATGGCTCAAGGAAGAGTGGAAGATCATCTGCTTCTTAATAGGATGTCCAGCACATACGATAGATGGATATATCATGGAGAACCTTTGGACAGTCAACCTCAACATTTTGAAGCTGATACAGAGGCCCCTCATATTATGGGTGGTGGTGATGCTGGCATTGATTTCATGGAAAAGGTTTTGCGAGATAATGCTGTTTTGGAGGAAGAGGATGGGCATGAAGATGATAGGATTCCTGACCTGTTGAAGGATTTGTATGATGCTGAAGATCGCGCTGATGGACAAAAGTCGTTGTTTGCTGAGGTGTTAGAGGAGGCGAAGCGCACAGCTCATGAAGGGGGTAAATTTTCAAGATTTACCTTCACCGTGAAGTTACTCCACATCAAGTCTTTCTACCGGATTAGCAATGCCGCATTCAACGCAATACTCCGTCTTTTGAGCTTGCAATTCCCTGATAGTTGTGTTCCCAGATCATATGATGAAGCATTGAGCATAATCCGCAGGCTGGGGTTAGGTTATGTGTCAATACATGTGTG